CATTCTAAGAGCTAAAACTGCTATGACAATCTGAATTCATCTGTATGTCTGTAGCAGCACTGACAGACTATTACATGGAAATGGTGTACTTCTGTTCTCTATCATAAATATCTGGAGAAAATGGAAAGAACACAAAATGCCATTTTCTGTTCAGAGAGAACATAAAAAGCAAAAGTAAAAAATCAAACAAAAATAACAGTGAAACAAGGAAATAATCTCTCAGAGCCTTTATTCATCCATTAATTCATTAAATATTGGTCCATGACATAAGAATGAGCAGGAAAAAATGGAGTACCCATAGACAGTGAGTGTATTATTATTATTATCTACTACACATGATAAAACAAGCACACATGTGGCTATAGAATAGGGAAGGACCCACAGGATTCCAAGGATAGTTATTCAAATGGATAGTTATGGTGCTTCTTACACATTTGGAGGAGACAGGGAAGGCATGTGTGAATGCTTTAAAGTATGTGTGAAGAGATTAAAGTATGAATACAAAAGCTTACCAAAAATCTATTTATAGTCACTGATGTCATACACTTCTAGTTCATTCATTCCATTAATTTCTTTCTTTGTACAATTAAATTCACCTCAACAAATTTTAGCATGTGACTGATCTGAGGCAAAAATTGAGCATATATATTTTATATTGTAAACTTTCATAATAAAACTATGAATGTACCGGGTGTTGGTGGTGCACGCCTTTAATCCCAGCACTTGGGAAGCAGAGGCAGGGGGATTTCTGTGAGTTCAAGGCCAGCCTGGTCTCCAGAGTGAGTGCCAGGATAGGCTCCAAAGCTATACAGAGAAACCCTGTCTCAAAAAACCAAAAAAAAAAAAAAAGAACTATGAATGCTGTTCAATCACCTTTCATTTTCTATTATCTTTGAAAATGGAAACAAATCATATTAAAGCCCAAATCTAACAAATGTAAATTATCATCTTAAGATAATGTATTTATGCTTAATAAAATAAAATGTAAAGTTAATTTGACTTAATACTTCTAATTAGTTTTATCAATGATATTTTACAAAGTACTAGTATGTAATAAAAATTATAAAATAATAATTTATTTTCATTATGTGCTGTGTAGAGCATTTTCTTTACTTATCCTGGTGACAATCTTGTGATTAAAAATAAGCAATGCTAACTATAGTGAGTCAATGAATAGGTTCAAGGGAAGGATAAGAACCAAGTAATTTTAAATATAATATATATGTAATGTATATATACAATTTTTCCTACATGTATGCATGTGTGCAACATGCATGTCTGGTACCAATGGTGGTCAGAAAAAGACATTAAATTTGTCAGGACTGGAATTACAGATGGTTATGAATTACTATGTAGGTGCTGGAACTGAGCTTAAGTTCTCTGCAAGAACAAGTGTTCTTAACTGCTGAGCCAAATCACAAGTGCTCAAGAAGTGAATCTTAATAGAAACTATGTTAGTCATATTATTAATAAAAATATACAAGACATACTATAGTTTACAAATATTATCAATAAGGAATAAATACAACAGACACAATTATTTAGACCAAATAAAAATTTTCTTTTTAGGTATTCAATTTGCAGACAGATAAGAAGTTGAGATCTGTTATTGTACAACTAGATTATATATGGTCAAAGGGAAGAGCTCTAACTTTAGTCCCAAACTATTATTTATAAGATCATTAGAGGGGAAGTGTGACAGAATAACAGTTTTCCAGTTTTATTAAAGGCACAGAACTGAATAAATCATAATCCCAGAGTTGAAATTCAGAATAGCAAACAGCAAGTATTTTCAGAGTCAGGGGTACTTGCTACTTATTTATTCTGAGGCATTCGAGCAGACAGAAAACCACAGCTGACACTGAGATGGGGAGCACTCCAATGGAAATAACTAATATAACCAAGTGTGAGCAGAGCCATCTATTATAACTAATGAATTGAGGGAACAATATTTTGCAGAAATTTCAGACAACTATTATTATCTACTTTTCATGGTTTTAATGAGATTTCATGAAGTAATATTTGCAAAAAACAAAACATGGTGTTTGAAAAATTGATAAATACCAGATTACCCTTTCTTTTCTCTCCAGACACAGCTCAAATCATTCTTGTGCCACATCACAACCTGTGAGAGATTTTTCTGCTTGTAAATGTTCATGGTTTTGAAGAAGATTCAATTTTGCTTCCTCAAAGGAAGCAAGGTCGCTTGCAAAATAACGGGTGAAAGCAACCTTTGTCCTACCAAACATAGATCCACATAGGCTACAAACATAAGTATGATGCATGAAGTGCTTCTGTATATGTTTGTCTTATTGTTTGATAAATAAAATACTGTTGACCAATAGGGAAGCAAGTTAGGTGGGACTGGGAGTCAAGGAGGATTCTGAGAAATGTAGTAAAGAGAAGTCTTGTGATCCAGATAGGAAGTGACATAGCAGGTGGACTCAGAATATAAGCAGGGACAATCAGGAGATCACTCTCTCCTCCTCTCTTCTCTGGAGCCACCATGTGGACCCGACAAGACAGGATGCATGCCACCACTATCCTCTATCAGATAAGTCTTTATAAAATATATAGATTACTAATTATGGTTGATACTTAAGACTGAGCTAGCAAGTAAGAAATTCTAGTCATTGGCCAGCAGCATTTTACCTAATGTAAGTCTCTGTGTGTTACTTGGGAGCTTAAAATGGTGGTGGGCAGAACTCAGGCAGCTTGGCAGAAAGATTTGTCATTACAAAATGGTGTCAGGATGTGGTTTTAGGAACTTTCACATAAAAACTTCACAAAAGCCTAAAAAGCGATTTTAGAAGCAAAAGAACAGGGACAAGCATGAATTCTTGGTAGCAGCATTTTCTCGGGCAGTCTCTGTTTTGCTAGAGACAAGCAGAGACTCTAGTGGCTCCTTTAAGAGAGGTTTCCTGATTCAGACTAAGCAGAAAAATCCACAGGACTCTTTTTAAGAGGCCCGGCTAACAATTAAATGGTGTGTATGATCAGCTGCCAGGGGTAGTGACCACATCTCCAAGCCAGCAGCATGATCCTTAATAGCAGCATAGCCAGGTGATGAGCATAGCTCTCTGATGGGGAATGTACTTCTTTGTATGTTTATCTTATTGATTGTTGAATAAAATACTGTTTGGCCAATGGAAAGCAAGGACTGGAGTCAAAGAGGATTCTGGGAAATGTAGTAAAGAAGTGATGATCCAGGCAGGAAGTGACATGGCAAGGAGACTCATATCTAATCGAGGAAACAGGAAGTATGCCTCTTTTCCCCTCGGCTCCTGCTCCAGTGGCATGATGTGATCCACCAGCAAGGAGGGACGCCAATAAGGCATCCGATAAGATAAGTCTTATAAAATATATAGGTTTATGATAGTTAAGACTTAGCTAGAGATGAGAATCATAGTCATTGGCCAAGCAGCTTTGAACCTAATACAAGTTTCTGTGTATTCATTTGGGCCCTAACTCAGGCAGGTGGCTGGCAAAAGCTCACATGTGGCAGTGGGGCTCAGGCAGCTTTTGGCAGAAAGATTTATCATAACAGCTCTCAGTGCTGGCAGTAAATATACCCCCACTATCTTGGAAAGACAGTGGCTAAAACCGCCGCTGCCGCTTTTGTTTTAGCAATGCTGTTTAGCAGATATAAGACTACATGGCCTGAAAAAGGGAAAGATTTACAGTAAAGTCAGATTTAGATGAAGAAAAACCTCTAAAAGGTTTACACTATGTTTAAAAATATATGTAGGCTTGTGAAGGAAAAGAAACAGGATAAAGTAATTAAAAGAAATAAAGAGAAGCCGGTGGTGGTGGCACAGTCTGTAGGATTTGCTGAAGGAAGCAAAAGCAGGAGAATTTCCAAAGAGAAACACTGTCAAAAAAAAAAGAATAAAGAAGGAAGTAAAAGAAATAGAATAATAAAAAAGCCATGTAAAGATAGAATATTCAGAGAGTCTGGATGCTATATGTTATACTGTTGTCTTTAAATTGTTTGATTGCTGAGGAAAGAGCAACACCTGCTAAAAGACATTTGATTATCAATGCTGCTAAATTAATCTAACTTATATATTTTAACAATGCTTTGACTTCTAAATTTAAATATAAGGATAGGTTACTTGGGAAAAGAGTTTTTGCTTATGTTTCCACAGAAAATGGAAAGCTATGGATTCCTTCCAGACTAATATGGTTTGATGATGAAGCAAGACCCCCTGAAACAGTGTCCCAGGTGATCCAACATCTAAAACAGCTGAGATGATGCAGCCTTGCAGACTACAAAAGCAAGGTCCTTTCCTGGTTTCTCTGTTTTATCATGATTCCCATGGTATGGACATAGCCTTCAACTAGCAGGAAGCAGTTTGTAAAGGACAATGCACAAATTCTCAAATGTGTGTATAAATGTTTGTTTTCATTTAAATGGGGTTGGTTATAAATGGTAATGATCACAGTCAATCTCTTTTTAGAGGAAAATAGGATATAGAAATGAATACTTTGCATTGGTATGGATTTTCATTTATTGATACAAATTTAAGGTTAATTTTGTTATATGTAAATTTCTCCTCTTGTTTAGGTATTGTGTTTAAACTTTTAAACTGTAATGCATAATTAAATACAGATTATATAGTAACCTATAATAGTCAGAACTTATAATTAGGTTAGTTAGGTTTCTAGATATACAGAGATGTATTTGAAGTGGATATTCAAATCTTTCAATGACCTATAGAATATATGGCATTTAAATGGCTTAGGGTTTTCATGACAGTGAGATACAACTGCTACTGGCACACCAATTACATCAGAAAGGATGATAGGCATTGAAGAAACTCAAAATAGAGTTTGCCTTCAACATGGAAAGATTAGCATTTGGGCAAGAAGATGCTCTTGCCGGACTGTTTGATAAACTGGACATGCATGAACCACATGAAAGTGACTGCTGAACTTACAAAACAAGATGAACAGTCCTGAAGGGTTCCTGCTTCATGGAGAAGTCTGCCAGATACACTGTGGCCTATAGGTTGAAGATGGATGCCCCAACGTTACAGAGGAACTTTGGGTGACTGTCCAGGTAGTGAGATGTCTCTGTCAATTCTAGAGTTTATATATTATCCTTCTGTGGTCTTTGATGGAGTTGAAGAGAGATAGTTATTCTGGGAAATGTAGTAAAGAGAAGTCTTGTGATCCAGGCAGGAAGTGACATAGCAATTAAACTCAGAATATAAGCAGGGACAAGCTGGAAATCGCTCTCTTCCTCTTCCTCCTCCTCTCTTCTCAGGGAGCTGCTATGTGAGCATGACAAGAGAGTATGCATGCCGCCAGCATCCTCAATCAGATAGGTCTTTATAAAATATATAGATTAATCGATATTTTAGACAGAGATAGCAGATAGGAAATCCTAGTCATTGGCCAGTAGCATTGAACCTAATAATCATCTTTGTATGTTATTTAGGGTACCCACACGGCAGTGGGGCTCAGGCGGCTTGGTATAAAGATTTATTGTTGCATAAGTGGATAGGAAATCCTAGTCATTGGCCAGTAGCATTGAACCTAATAATCATCTCTGTATGTTATTTAGGGTACCCACATGGCAGTGGGGCGCAGGCAGCTTGGTGTAAAGACTTATTGTTGCATAAGTACAGTACAGCTGAGGTATCATTGTTTCATTGGAGATCAATAATGAAAAATTAAAGTTTCTAAAAGGACTCATGTGTTAGTTTTAACAGTCTTCTTGATATAATCTAGAATAAACAGAATTGTCTGTATCAGATGGTCTATGGCCATATCTGAGAGAATGTATTAGTTGCTAATTGAGTTAGGAAGTACCAGCCCATTAGAGGTGGCACCTTTCCATAAGGGTCTTGACCAGTACATTAGAAAAAACTCAGCTGGGAGAAAGCAAGCACATAAACAAGGATGCATGTATTTTTACTTGACTGTATCTTGACTATAGATATAATATGACTAGATGCTTGAGTTTCTCCTCTGAGATAATGATCTATAACAAGGAATTGTTAAATAAATGTTTTCTCCCATAAGTGTTGTCAAGATATTTTACAGACCAATAGAAACACAATTCAATAAAAAAAAAAAAAAATTGAAAGTGCCTGAAAGCAAGAAACGCTGAACTAAGCCATAAGAAATTCAGTCCAGATTGTTCTTGGACAGGTTTGATTGTACCTAAGCCATATGAACATTAATATGCATTTAATAGCATCTATTGAATGCAAACTTATTAGATATTATCTATTAGATATTCTGTGGTATAGTCCACTAACTCCATTAACCTAGAATTCATCAATGTTAAAGCCATTCTGTGGTATACAGTGTTGGGAATTGTGATAAAAGCAAAGAATATTTTGGTTCTGGAATAATCTGAAAGTTTTCAGAGGACAAGGATTTTTTTGTTTTGTTTTTGAAGTGGTATCTCCTAGAGGATCAGATAATAAAAAGGACCCCAGGTCATGGAACGGTGTGAGGACAGACTTACAGCAGATAGAAGAAATGGTGAAGGACAACTGAAATGCATGAAAGACAGTCAAGCTTAGGACCAGGGATATCATGTAATACGTAATGAGAAGCCACAATGAGAGTCTAGAGACAGCCCGGGGCCAGCAGAATGAGAATCTCCAGCTCCTAATGATGAAGAATGAAAGCAAAGCTTCTGCTCAAACATGATATCTTTGGAGATTTTAAGTAGCTGGTAGATGGCAATGGTCTGATAGACACATGGATGAGTAGGAGGGCAGGAACTTAAGGGCATTCAGGCCTCACTTATGGATGACCAGGTTAGTAATATTTTCTTATTCTCTTTCCATGGTGTCCCACTGCATTCTAATGTATAATGACAGCTCCAACTTAAGGATGATTTTTATTTAAAACAAAGAATATCTTTCTGATAGATCTGCTGGGCAAGATCTAAAAAAGCATTCCAACTATAAACAACATTATTTCTTCCAATATGGAAACATGTTTAAGACCAAGAGAGAAAATTAGTATACCCTATAGAAATATAGAATAAAAGCTAGAATACCTCAACGTAATATTTTTCTTTTCTCTTATAATTGGATGAGCTTCCATAGGAATTTCTCTTGAGAGTATAAACTCATGGGATATTTCCATATGTGAAGAAGAAACATCAGTAGTAAATAAAGGTGAATTGTCACATTAAGCATATGATCAAAGTTCACACTATATACTCATATCAAACTATGCTGATGTGTGATGGTAAATATGCCTTTAAAAGTATATTTGGGGAATTTTAAGTTTAAGAGCCAGTGAATCTTGAAGGCAATGTCATTTATCTGATTATTGGTCATGGATGCATTCTAAGCTATATCCAGTGGTAAAACTATGTGGTCCATAAATGAGAATAAGTTAACACAAAAAGGTAAACTCTCTAACAGTAAATATAAGCTATAAGTGAAAAACCATGGAAGTAATATATCTCAAACCCCCAAACTGAGAGACACATCTGGAAGATAAATTCAAGGATGTTGAAATAAGGCTCACCAGTTCATTGCCTTTCATAACATAGCTGGAGCAAAAATCTAAAATGAAGACATGGCAGCAGATGGTTCCCAATTCAGATAGAAAGTAATATCTAAAACCAGGGGTCATAAATCCTTTAAAAAATGACAATGACAAAAGCAGAAGAAAGTGTCATTTGCTTTTTCATTGTATAATACTGTTCTATTCATTTCCTCTGCTGAAGTAAAATATGATGAGATTTGAATAAAATAATATTCAGCATACCAGATATATTCTTCTAACATGTTTCCCTTGATCTTCATTATTGGAACAATAGCAAGCACCACAGAAATAATATAGAGAAAAATTACTTCCATACCTAATGGTGGATAAATCTTCTGTCTGCATACACAATTTATTGGATATACAGAAAAATGAAATGTGTTTACTCTGGTATAATCATGAATATTGATGGTGCTCTATGAAGCTCACCTGCCATGATTAAAGCAGGTTCTCCTCCTAAAGCAGCAGGTTGCAACTTGATGCTGTAATCCATAATAGGACAATCACTTCTCCTTGTCAGCATTCACAGGTTAGTCATACAAGGCACACATTGGACACTGCTCAGGATACTCCCTTTGTGTTCCCTAATTAATTGTGAAGTATGCCTCTATCAACCTTAAACCACCAACATAGACTGAATTTCTTTCAAAATTAAATATTTCACTTTTTCACAAGAAATTCAATTCTCATAATGTCTATTGGGACCAAGGCTTGCTAGCCTAAGCTCATTCTTCTGTTCAATATGAACAAAATACAGGCAGTTTGTACCAAGTCTATTTTCTTTCCTTCCCTGTCTTTGATTGTGGGAGGTCTGAAATGTCCCTCATATGCTCATGTACTTGAACACTTTGGACAGGCCATCTCTACTATTATGCTTGGCCATAAACACTCTGGAAGTGTAAGGCAAAGTAAACCATTATCTCTTCAGTTGCTTCTGCCAGGGTATTTAATCATAGCATTAGAAAAGAATCTAAGACATGTGCTTTGACTTTTCTTCAAGAATTTACTTGACAACAATTTTGGTCTTTCTTTGTTTTCAACAAAGACCACTGACACTGTGGTTTTGTATCCAATTCAACAGTAGCAATTCTGCTCAACATTTCCTGTTGCATAAATGGTAAAGAAGGTACTTAAGGTTAGTTTAAGCTAAAATTTATTATTATTTATCACTTGGTATATAATCTCTGTAAGACTGCAAAATATATTTGTTTATTCCTCTAAATTTCTGCATTAAATGATCTGATAACTTTGAAGGATAAATTTTTAAAAATTTCATCTATAACGAATTATAGAAATGATCCCTGAAAGTACTATTTCAGTCCAGATCCATGAACAAAAATATATTTGTTTATTCCTCTAAATTTCTGCATTAAATGATCTGATAATTTTGAAGGATAAATTTTTTAAAATTTCATCTATAACAAATTATAGAAATGATCCCTGAAAGTACTATTTCAGTCCAGATTCATGAACGAGGGTGTAGGCCTTCTCCCAAATGATGTGACAGACTTTGATGATCCCCC